CGCACCGCAACGGTAAGACCGGAGTCGGTGTGAGCCTGGGGTTACAGTTCACCAGATGATCCAGTAAAACTGATTCAAAGTTTTCTATCTAAGGGAAACCAGTTGAATGCGTTGACTCTTTGATTTGAATGCAATCCCTCACACTGACCATGCTTGTAGCGACAGTGGAGAGGAAAACTCCCTTTTGAAAGGAAGAATCCTCCAGCAGAACCAGAATCAGTGTTCACAGCCATCTGCCGAGGCCGACTGGGGTTCAAGGAGACAAAAGCTGACATACAGTAAGAAGCAGAGATAAGAAAGGCAACTGTAAACCAGCTCCACATGCAACCCTGTCCAGGAAACACACAGCCAGGCAGACGGGCTCCGAGCCAGCTCCCATGTCAGAGGATGAGGAGAGCTCATACAGCCAGTCAGTCAGAGAAACAGGACTACACTGAAAAACAGACCGATCTAAAAAACCGATAAACAAAGGTGTTGATGGCAGCAGCACAGCTGATATTTCTCTCTATGAAGGAGTCACAGCCAACAGGAACAGACCAGATGAAGCTACTATAAGAAAAGCAGAGAGAGCATAATGTTAGAGATTAAACTAACAGATTCTGCAGAGAGGGAGAATAGAGATGGAATGAAGCACGATGATGAAAAAGGGGTCCCTATGTCATCCAGACCTTTAAGCCTATAGCAGCATAACTATAGAGATAGCGCACGATAACCCGAGCCACGCTAACTATAAGCTTTATCAAAAAGGAAAGTTTTACACCTACCATTAAAGGTAGACAGGGTGTCTGCCTCACGGACTAAAACTGGTAGTTGGTTTAACAGGAGAGGAACCTGATAACTAAAAGATCTGCCTCCTATTCTATTTTTAAATATTCTAGGAACCACTAGTAAACTTGCAGATTTAGAGTGAAGTGCTCTATTAGGAACATAAGGAACAATCAGATCTCTGATATTAGATGGAGCTTGGCCATTTAAGGCTCTAAATGTGAGAAGGAGGATTTTAACTTCTATTCTGGATTTAACAGGAAGCCAATGAATTAATTATAGGAGTCTGATTTCTCCAGCACTAGCTATAGAAACACTTTGCAGCATCATCCTAACCTGTTTCTGTAGCAATCTGCTTAAGGTGGTGCCTTGACATATTGAAGCCAGTGAGCAGCATCTCCCATAATGACAATCCTATCAATAGCTCAGTGTTATGAATTGTTTGTCATAGTGTGCTCATAGTGTTGTGTCAGTGAGAGTGCGCCATGAACGGGCACACAGACTGAGAAAGGAAATTTGACCGCTAGTTCAAACACTTGTGTGTTTATGTGCATATGTGAGCATGTCAGAGAGCAGATGGCTGTAGAACAGGTTGTAAAATATGCAGGAGCAGCCAGTTTTCCCTCAGATCCTCTCTCTATCTCTGTCTAGATTTCTGTCTGAGAGGAGACCCGCACTGTCATCTGATTCTAAATGCAACATATAGCCTCAGGGGAGAGCCGCTTGCTGGATTCTAATAGTTTTCCTCACATGTAATTATAAAACCGACAACACAGGAAACACAAAACCCCACAACTAACACCCTCCACACACTGTGTAAGTGGTGGGGTTGTGTTCAAAATAACACTTGTGTGTAAG